AAACACTCCCTTCTTGCTAAGTCTTGATTATTAAAATCAACACTTTTAACCCCCATTTCAATGCCTACTAGTAGATCTTCCTATTTTTTTTTTTTTTNGCAATTTTCCCTCTATTTCTTGTTCATATGTAAATTTAATCGATGGGTAAAAAGAATTTAAATGTTGTATGAAAACCCCCATATTAAAATCTTTATTTATAACTGCAAAAATATCATCGACATACCTAACCCAAATTTTTGGAAAATCACCATAAGTGTATTTTAAATTTGTTTCAAACCTACTCATGAAAAGTTCTGCTAAAAATGGTGATAGCGGATTTCCCATTGCTGTGCCCTCAGTTTGCTCATAAAATTTATTTTGAAACTGAAAAACATTTTGACTCATACATAACTTTGTTGAAGATCTACTAGTAGGCATTGAAATGGGGGTTAAAATAAAGTAGTTGCTCACTACTATAAAGTTTTGTACTAGAAACCAAATAATTTCCATTATTTGCAATTAGCTTATAGGTATTTAATGCCAAGATGTGTTTTTGATCAACGAGAAGCACGTTGTATAAGCTGTTTCAAACAAATAAAAGATGTGCAACCTTCAAAAAAATACATAAAGATACCATGTGGTCATGGTTGGTACTGCAATAATTGCATTTCACAAAACGGATGTTTAGCATGTAACGAGACGATTATTGATGTAATGTGTGTAAATTTGTAAATAAATGTAAACATAATATATATGATTTAAATATGTATATTTGAAATCTGTTAAAGTTTTTTTTTTTTTAGTAATATTATTTTGATTCAATTATAACTATTTTTGTTCTTTATATGTGTTTCCTTATTTGAACAAAATTAAATTTTTAAATATTGATATTTAAAATAAATCATTATGAAAACTTGATCAAATTATAAAAACAATCATTGTTGCTGCCACTGGATATTACACTGACAATGTATTATGTTGACTGTTCATAATGTTACTGCTTAAATAATTTAATATTTTACATTAACAAGTCCATTTGTTGAACACAAATGGAACCATGACCTTGAAATTAATATTACGAAATAAGGACAACAATAAAATCATAAATTGAATACAGCTCGAACTAAAACTAGTCGAGGTGTTACCAGTGGGTCGGGTTTGGTTGAACGAGAATAGTCTATAATCCATCCTCGTTTTATGCGAATTTTATTACCTGTATTTTTAATATCTTTATTTGTTGAGCGAGAGATTAGTTCGGTTATTGGAGTCTACATTCTTTTCTCCGACGACAGACTAACTATCCACCTCTCTGTATCAGTGGTAAAGAAAAACCTCGCCTTTGTGGAGGTCTCTATGGGCCTCTAATACGCCTGGAAAAGCAACAAAAATACAGGGTGGCCCACCACTCACTGACAACTTAAATAACTTTTGATCCAGTTAATATTTTTAGTTGATTTTTTTTTTAAATAATAGTTATACGTTAGGTCTATGGCTATATCTCAATAATTAATTTTTTTACATTTTATTAAAAATATTAATTATTTTTAAATTTTAAATAAAATGTAAAAAAAAAATCTAAGATAGCTATTTTGTACAGTAGAATCTCAGAAAAATTTTAGTAAAAAAATATCTTATTAATATTCAGTAGTAAATATTCTGTAGCGTTTTGAAGTTTGTGAAAATTTGAATTTTTATGTACTATTTTACGGTATTAAACAATGAAATACGTATTGAGAAAAGGACAGAAGAAAACGCTATATTTTCATGATTACTGTGTATACATATGATGATAGTGTGTATACATTACAAACTTGACATTAATACCATGATAAGAAATTAGATAAGGCAATTATTACTTATCACTCTCATACAACAGTATATTGAAAAGATAGCATTTTCTTCTGTCCTGTTCCATATCGGGAACTCAATATACAAAAAATATGGCACTCCAGTCGATAAGCCTTTGTACTTTAGCAAACAAGCAGAGGTACTCTAATTAGACTGAGCTTGCAAAGTGACTAGGCTGATGATGAAGAAGACGGGTGGCCGTGTATCCAACGTATCGCTAAACATAAGGCACCATGATAATAGTTACCTATAGACTCTAACATTGCATTTGGTACACACCTGTGTACCTCATTCCGCTGCCCCAATAACTGATTTTTTTTTTATTCTTATCAACAATTTTTCCTCTATATCGCATAAATATCTTAAATTCTAAAATAGCTATCGTTTTCTCAGTGACATCTTTCCCACCCGGGTCACGTGCACACAGTGTCTTCTCTAAATGCGACTCTGTATATTTATATTAAGTTAATGTCGAGTATGCTAAGATTTCATTTTTTCTAAATAATAATAATTTTAATATTTATTATTAATGTTGCCAAAGGTGGAAGAATGATAAAGTTATATTTAATTTTAGTATTTAGGTAGAAATTCGTTATCGCAAGTTAATGCGACACCGGGCATCTGAACCGATAATGTACATGCATAATGACCTTAAATGACTGAGGTTCACAAATCACAGATTTGTGTAATTCTTGTACAGTTATGACAAATAATGAAAATATACCATATATTACAGTTGTTATAACAGAAAAAAAAACTTCATTGTGACAACTGAACATTAAATTTATCAAAGAAACTAAAACTAAATAAACTAATGTAAATAAACTAACAGAGGATAACTTGTGTCACATCTGTTCAAATAAACTTGCAAGAACAATAGAGTATGGACCACATATATGTTTTAATTTGATTAATTTGAACAATTCATCAGCAAGTAATTTAACCGATACACATATTCAATTAAACCATGTACCAAAGTTTTTAAAAATAAATGATACTGATTTTTATTTACAAGGACTGATAAGTACACCAGATAACCAACAGCATGCTAGTTGCCATGAAATTCTGGGACATTATCATGCGCATACATACAGACATCCCATGAATGTGTGGCAACTATATGATAATTTAAAAGAAAAAGTTACACGAAGTGTAAATGAAACCACAAAAGTGAATATACAAATTGTGATGTATTCTCAATAAAATTTTTTTATTTCATCATAACTTCTCAGTAAAAAACACACTTTTCTGTAAAACCTATAAAATATAATGAAATTTATTAGTTATACTATTGACTTATTTTTAATACGTTCTATTTTAGTTAGTTCAATATCTATAAAAGAGTTTTAATTTTTTTGTAAAAATATGAAATATTTCCTACTCAAGTTATTTATTTGAATTTTTGTACAATAGTTGCCAATATGATGTCACGCCAGCACCCACCTATAGAAAACTTATTTATGATAGGTAAAGATTGCTGCACAAATAATTAATTATCGAGCACAAACAACGGGACCTTGTGCACATTTCTGCACAAACGAATGAGATATTAAAAACTACGAAATTAAAAAAAGGGGAGGCTGCCTTTTCTGCGGCCCCCGAAATGTGTTTTTACGATATCTCGGAATGTAAGTGTGCACAAACGACGGGACCTTGTGCACATTTCTGCACAAACGATCCACAAACGAATGAGATGTTAAAAACTACGAAATTAAAAAAAGGGGGGGCTGGAGAAATGTACCCGTATTTAACGACGCTCTATTATTACTATGACTAAGAATTCTACGCTGCGCACTCTGCTCGCCGCCAATAACTAATAATTATGACAACTCAAATAAGTATTAGTACAGTACTGGTTATCGGACTGTTAAATTTTATTTAAACTATTCCCCATTTAATAGTAAAAGAATAGTAATAGGTTCCCACTTAATTTTCGAAATTTATCCTTAAAATCTACCCTTAACAAAAAGACTCGTTTATAAATTTTATACTAGTTATTTAACAATGAATGTAAAAAAACTAGTGTATATTATATATTAATTAGGTTATATACCTTATAATAGAACAAATAATGATAATATATGAAATATAATTAAACCATTTTTTTCATCATTAAAAACTATATAGGATTGTGCCATATATTTATTTTAAAATGTATTTAATTTTAGAATTAGAGATAGTTTCTATAAAAAATATTGTGATAATATCAAAATATTAAACTTTTCGCATTTTTTCACTTTTAACAGCAATTTTTTTCAGTATCTAGTTATGCTAGTAACATAAAACTTATATTTTTTAAATTCTTATAAAATGTATTTCAGGGCATCAAGTTGAAGCATATATAGTTATATATAAAACAAACAGGAAATAATAAACAATATGTAATGGTAGCACATAAGATATAGAGTAATAAAAAATGTGTAAGATATTATGTAAGAAATGATAAAACATCATAAAATGAAGATCATTAATTAAATAAATAACATGTAATAAATTACGATTAATAAAAAATAATGATATCGTCAGTGATCATTTCTTGCCTTTGACAATACCATCAAACTTAATATAAAAAGTTCAAAATAATAAGAACTGCGGCTCAAGTGTCACTCTGATAGTGGTCAAAAAGTTCTCAATCGATTAGTCGCACTTAGATACGGTCTGTTATTCCAAGATGTTCTCAGTACATTCAATTACGATCAGTCAATTCACATTTTGTTAACCTTAAATTTATCGAGATACGCGCAAAATGTGATCCGCCGCGTCCATATTATAGTTTCATAAGGAAAAGGAACGTCTATTTATTTCAGAATATTTATTAGAAATATCAAGGTAGAAATATAACAATTAAAAAAAATATATAATGTAAAGAATTAAATTTTATCTGTACATAGATTAAGTAGGCACAAAGAAAAATAGAAATGATCATCAATAATAAAAAATATACCTAATAAATTTAATAAATCAATAATGTTTGTACGAAGTAGCAGGAAGAGTTCTATTATTGATACGTGTTTATTTTAGGACTTAAGTAGAGGGATCATAAAAAGCCATCATACTCTGGGTAGAGACACGAGTTGACTCTAACCATCTATATGGTTTTTAAAAAGAAGACATGATTATTAGGGTGTCCCTTATTTTGAAAATTTGAAAATCATTGATTATATATCACAAGACAGGTTCAAAATGAAATGACAGTAATTTGAATCACTGTCAGCTTCGTGTTGAATCCGACATTGTTCTGGAAATCAATATTATAAAAATATTCCAATTTTTATATAATTATGACTTTTAAAAATGTGAAATTATTAATCCAAGTTTAAAACAAGTTTTCTCAGACTGCCTAATTAATAAATACATTTTTAGTATACCATTAAATAATATAAACATTTTTTTTTTGACGGAATTCATTTTAAAAGGCAAAATTATTATAAATAAAATATAATAAATAAAAGGATTTAATAGCTATAACAATTTACATATTAACTAATTAATTAATATGTTTGCCAATATTACATTATAAATAATGAAAAAAATTAATACTTAAACTTCTTTTCTATATTTAATGTATTTTTAATATGGAATCGTTCTAAAAAATATTTTTGACAAAGGTTATTTAAAACAATTATAATTATTACTTGTAAAGCAAAAACATAAATTATATGAATAATAGTTTGAAATCTAAATTTACTATACTAATCGAATTTAATGTAAATTCTTAAATAAATACATGTGAGTTTGCGTCAATGCATAAATTGTGTTATTTATTATTTGCACACATTCAGAGGAGACAAGGGCAAGTTGTCATCCTTTAGCTATAATTAAATCTCTTAAAGAAAATATTCGCCATAAAATTTTGTTAGAAAACTTCTTGATATATTTAAAATAATTGATAAAATGTTCATTATTTAAAACTGATTATTAATTCATTTAAAAAAGTCAATTTCTAATACCTTTTTAACGGGAATATTAGAATTATATTGTTTAATTCAAGTAATGCTAAAAAATAACTAAATATGTATAACCTAATTAAAAGGGAGTCATCTCCTGCTAAACTTAATTGTCAACTCGCCGCACTTTCTATGTTTAAATTATAAATTTATCTACTAATCAATGTCGTACCGATATAATTCATATAATACACAAACAGTTTTTTATATGTCAAAATATAGTTTATAATAAATATTTCAAAATACGTAATCAAAAAATTTATTTTTTAATTAATTACAAATTTTATTAGATTTTAAATTAGATTGGTATCAAATCAGTTAAGACAAAATAAACTGTTTAAATTAGATACATAAGTAAAATAGTATATTATTTTAAATATAATGATCATTTACTTTTTCCCATGAATCATCCATTAAAAAATATTTGTATTTTTGAATATATAAATGATAAATGAATTATATTATAAATTACAATTGTTCATATATTATTAAAGTACACAATAAAAGTTTATTTTTGATCATGTATTTAAAATACTCTTGTAAGAGTTATTCCTTTAATTCAAATTTTTTTAGTTAGTATATAGTTTATTTCAAAACTGTTTAATTTTAATTGATAAAATATTGTGAAATTTAAAGATTGTTAAATATTCTTTTAAAATAATAATATGTTACTCAATAAATGGAAGTTAATACTTTTTTTTATTCAAACAATCAACCAATCGATTTGTGTTGATCTAAATAATATCACATTTGAGGACGTAGACACTCTTCAAAAGGAATACCCATATATGAATGAAGTCATTCTTAAACAACATCCTTATTATATAAAATCACACGATGAGGGTAACTTTTGTCCAGTACCTTACAGTCACTTAGTAGATTATCCTGAAATTTCTTATGGAGGTATAAAAATAATAGATAGAAGTTTGCAGGATGTGGTTTCTAACTGTGTGGCAGAAAAAAAATATAAATTGGCTTATACAATTTTTTTGAACGCTATTGAAAGTATGGCATTTACATACATGTATCGGTTCTGCGAGTTTGCAATAGAAATGAATAAAAAACGTAATGATATATCATTTTACTTAAAAGAAATTGGTGGAATACTTGCTGAACTTATACCGATAATTAATAGAGAATGGATTTCTCCTGAACCGTATGAATGTATTTTAGATGTTTACGAAAATCACAAATCTGAGGAAAACAAATTTATTAAAGTAAACACAAATTACAGAAATGCTTTATTAAGTTGCATGAAGTTAATGAAAGATAAAGTGCACTTTTTAAGAGATCCTAAAAAAGTAACAATGAATGAAATGGCTATAAATCAATTAAAAGATTACCATCATATGAGTTATCTAGTTATTAGTGATCATTTGACTTTAATAAATGCTCCTTATTACAAAGATATAACTGGAGATTTATGTAAGAAGGATATTTATTTTTTAGTTTTCAAAATCATAAATTATACTATAATTATATATTTGGTAAAAAAACACGTTTGAGAATCTACTCTTCAAAGTTGTCGGCTATAGTTTTTAATTAGTTTTAAAAGCGTTAAAAAAATACTTAAAATGCTTTTGAACTGAAGATTAAAATTTATCTTTTAGAAATTATTACCGATAAAATTATTTAACAATTGTTTCTTTTTTTTTCTATAGATCAAACCTCTTGTACAAGCTGTAAGAAAAATAACACTGGTACGACTAATGAAATTTACATTTTGTCACCATGTGGACACGGCTGGTGTTGTGACTGGTGTAGTAGCAAATTTCGTAGAGGCAAATTGTCAGAATGTCCGGTATGTCATCAAGAGATTATGAGTACTCAAAAACTAAATATACGAACATCTGTGTCAATAGTTACTCAAAGTATATAAATTATAATTACTTATTGAAACATTAATGAAAAAAAATATTAGAAGCGTTTTTTTATATTGGCTTTTATGTTTGGTAAATTAGCTTCAGTGTTCTAAGAAAAATTTTTTTTTGGTTATCACATAGTCTTACTATTGTTAAAGTTATATACTTTCAATGATAATTATTAGCCTACCAAAGGTGATAAAAAGCCCATTTTCTAAAGAGGGAGGCTCATTAAAAAACTAATTACTTTACACTTAACTGAAAACTTTACTTAGCAAGCAGTTTAGGAAATTTTAATGGTAATATTTCTATATATTACCAAAAACAAATTTTTTGAAAATAATTTAAATAAAATCATATGTTTATTTTAAATAGTAGTTATAACATTTCTGAATGTCGATAAATTATTGTTGTTTCAAGATTTTTAGTTTTAAATTTTGCAGAAATAAATTTATAATCATATAAAATTTTTTGTTTTTTCAATAGAAAAGGAAATAGATAACGAATAAAAATTATTTGAAATTTTATGTCTTATTCATAGTAGAACAGTATGGAGGTAGATGTTTTAAATAAAATTGATATAAAGAAAGCTATTTTTTTCGTTTATTGTCAAGTTAATATGACAAATTTAATAACTATTTCATTTAACAATTTTTTCTTATAACAAATATTGCCTTCTTAGTTTTATGCTCAAAATATATATAAAACTATATATCACTGATATAAATATAACATTTTATGAATTTGAATTGTTGAATAGCTGTACTTTTCCTAATATTATCATGGAAGTATCAACATCTTTTGTAAAAAAAGAGTTTAAAAAAGGCTATTTAAGGTGGCCGGTTATAAAAATATTTTATTAACATACCTTAAGGTATGAAGTCGATTTCTTCCCATTTTATATAATTTTCCATTCCAATATATTTTAAATATTCAGTAGAGCAATTCAAAATTACATCCAAAAAAAAATTATTTCTATTCTCTATATAATCTGATGTGATAAAATTACATTTTTATGTGAAAAATAAATAAATAATGTAATACATATTTATATTTTAAAATAACGTCTTATTAGTTTTTTAAATATAATAGTTATTATAGTTAAAAACTTATTTTTAAAACTCTTTTAGTTTTCTTAATACGATTATTGATGTGCAAAAAATATTCCCTTTAAAATTTAATCATAAACTCCTTTAAACTATTTTACTAGGAAAGGAACTAATTTTCAATATTTGTATTTAGAATATGAGCCGTTGCAGGCAAGATGTATCTTAGATGAACGTGAAGTGCGTTGTGTAAGGTGCCGCTATCAAGTAGTAGATGATGATGATGATCAGTCAAAGAGTTACATAATGATACCATGCGGTCATGGTTGGTATTGTGAAAATTGCATTGATCAAGAAATATGTTCAATATGTAAGCACGAAAAAACAGATAAATTGTGTGTAAAATTTGAAAAAAAATGAATAAATGTATTAATGTTATTTCTTTAATTAATATTGCTTTGATAAATTTTTTTTTATTATTTTTTTATTTATGAAATTTACAATCTGCAAAATAAAAATTTTACAATAAGTAAATAGTTTAGAAAAACTATATATATACAATACTTAATATGAGTAGCCTGTGAGGTCGCTTCCATTGAAGTCGCATGCTATTGAAAATTAATATTTAATTTAATTGCATTATATTAACAATAATAATAACACTATATAATGGTATAGTAGTTTGTACAATAATTAGGAGTTTAAATCCGTAAAAATAACAAGATTATATCATTTATAATGATAATAGGTCTCTGCACCATTCTCTCTTGAGACGCCTTACTGGATTGCCAGGCAAGGCGTTTGCGCTCAGCATTTGAATTAGTCTGTTGGAGTTGCATTCAAGTCTCATCCAGAATCTCTTATAATAGAATTTTGCCATTTCTATAATTGTGTTGAGATGGAGTTCCAAGTGTAGAGCCATGTTTGTGACATACCAGGGCACCCCGGTTATGATTCTTAAGCAGATGTTTTGGAAACTTTGGAATGTTCTCTGGTCCCCAAATTATTATGTCATAAGACCATAGTGGCTGGAGTAATGTTTTGTACAATATAATTTTATTTGACAAAGAAATATTTGATTGAAGCAAAGGTCCTTGTAAATGAAGTATCGAGTTCAGTTTCTTGCTTTTAGCTTTTAAATGAGGACCTCAAGTTAACCATCGCTCAAAAATTAACCCTAGGTATTTAACCTCAGTTGAATGAGGAATAATAATGTTATTAATAGTAACTGATGGGCAGTCATAAGTTTTAAAAGTGAATGTAATGAAAGAAGACTTCGACTCATTTATTTTGACTCGTCAGGCCTTGAACCAGAGCGAAGCATATCTAGATATATTTGTAACTGTTGACTGGCAACTTTATGTTCTAATGAAGAAGATATTAAGGCTGTGTCATCAGCATAGGTACCAAGTACTGTTGTATCCGATAAAGTTAGATCAGATGTTTATACTGTGCACAAGAATGGTGCAATATCGCTTCCTTGAGGCACACCAGAATATATTGAGTATAGTGGGGAGTGTTGGAGATTATTGCGGACTTTGAAATAACGGTTTAGCAGGTATGATTTGAGTATGAGGTAATAAAGAGCTGAGAAAATGTTTTTTAATTTGAATAGAAGTCCTTCATGCCAAACAGAGTCAAAAGATTAGGTCACATCAAGAAATACTCCAGCAAAGTATTGCTTCGTTTTTAGTGCTGTTGATATTATATCAGCCACACGGTGTACTTGATGAATAGTTAAATGTTTTGCTCTAAAGCCAAATTTAAATTCAGGAATGTTGTAATTTTTTTAGTGATAAATAAAATACGTTTTAATATAATTTATTTTTAATTTTATAGTATGATAAAAAAATATTACAAGCAACATTGTTCTAAAAAAATTTTTTTCCGATTAAAAATTCGTCCGTTACAGCCTCTTAAAGTCAAGCGATTTTAGACCAAGTTCCTATTATTATTTTACTGTATTAAATACAGAAATCATTATTTTTATTTGTAAGTCTTACATACTATAGATTTTGCTATTATTAATACACCGAAAACCCGATTTAAATCTGTTATTGTCATCACTATTTAGTGAGTCATAATTTTTTATATCTAATTTACCTATCATAACTTCATCAATAAAATTTGTTTTATACAACAGCAAATAAATATAATAAGGGTTCCCATTAAAAAAAATTATTAATAAGGATTTTTATCCCAAAAGGGACAAAAAAATTAAATGATTTCACTACATATTAATGTAAACAATTTTTAACTTGATATTTTTCTCTTAAAAAAAATTTTTAATTCTAAGAGAAAATGAGTGTTTTACCAGATTTCGATCACCTGTATGATTTACATTTTTATATTTTCCCTTTACAAGATTTTAACTTTTAAAAGTCATAACACATACATAAATTTTATGAAAATTTAATATTTTTAAACAGAATAAATAAAATTACAATTTAATAGCTATAATACAAAATTGTTATTTTAAAAAAACGATAAGCAGAACTAATACATATTTTTATTTAATATTTTACGCATGATTAAAACCTATATTAGACCTTTTAATGTTTAATATTACTTGTAAAATATTCGCAATGAAATAGATGAATATATTTATTCATCTATTCGAAATGAATAGATTTATATCATATGTTATATACATTTGTCAAACAATGAATAAATCTATTAATGTTATTTCTTTAATTAATATTACTTTGATTCATTTAAAACTCTTTTGTTCCTTAAATATATAACAAGTTCCCTATTTGTTCAAAATTACATTATTAAATAATGCTATTCAATATTAGTCATTATGAAAACATGATTAAGTTACTATGATGAAATATTAATAGATTTATATATATTTAGATATTAATGTACCATATTTAATTAAATGTCGGTACAAAAAAAAAAATTAAAGCATGTTTTACATACATTATATTGCCGATTATTATTTAAAAGAATATATTTCAATTTTAGTGTAATTATTCGTATTGAAATGTACAAATGATTTTAGGTCTAATAACACTAAGTAATAAAGTTTAATTTTAATTTAAATAAGTCGGAAAATATTTTTAGAGATTCAATTTTTTTTGTTTGTATAAACCTATCTATTTATATAAGGCTTCGCCTATCTAGGGCCCTTTGAAACGACCTTACGGGTAGTATAATCAGTTTTAATTATTCTCGAATTTATTCAATTTTTTGTTTTTCTGAAAAATACTTAGACAGATTTAATAAAAATTATTGATAAAAAAATACACTCATGCTATTTTTGTTGCAAGTTATGTAAATTTAAAAAAGAATACATTTCAGTTGTTGCTGTACTTAAAAAAATACGCGTAGTGTATTATTAAAGGATGTATAATTTCTTTTGAGGACTTAAATTTGAAATACTTAATAATCTTTTTATTACTTTTATATAGCTGTTTTCACATTTTGTTTAAATAATAATCAAGACTTAAAATTTAATATTCCTAATTTGTAAATTCAATAATTTTTTATTTTAATTCTGCTCAATAACTTTTAAATAAGTAACCTGGTAATATTTTTACATTAAAACGAATTAATCTTAATAAAAACCAAATATTTGGCTTTATAGAACTGTTGAGGGGTAAGCGGGAATAATATTAAATTAATTAATATTATTCTTACGCACAGAGTTTTTTAGTTGTTATAATTTTTTATTAATAATACAAAATATATCAATAATAGAATGTGATTGTAATTAATATATATATATATCGTGTAACGCACCGAACAGCGAGGTGTATTGCGATGTACAAGTCTAAGATAAAAAATACAATAGGCGATAAGCGCCATTTATTCTAGCGGCCGTTCTGTATAACATAGGCCGCAACATGAACTATAAAAATACTTTTTATACAGCTTAATTAAATAAATAAAAATATTAATAATAAAAAAAAATTTTAAACATATTTTCATGAATTTTTTTTTAGCAGAATATTACTATCACACTGGTATATAAATCAAAATTTGTTATATTTATCATATTTCTGGGCATATTAATTATTAAATTTTTAAAAATAACTTCAAAGTATATTCAATTACAAATAATAATAAAATAATTTATTGATGATAATTTATATTAAACATTTTTTGAAAATAAAGGTTTTAACGGTTTACATAAATTACATCTTAAAATAGTTTATTATCTAAAACTATTTGAATTTTAAGTTTAAAATTTGTTAAAAGTAAATTTCATACTGGTTATTAAATACCAGTATTACATTGTGGGGTAAAATTATATGATAGAGTTTTGTAAGGATCAAAGTAATTGAATCTTCTATGTAATTTCATAAAAGTAGCTGATATTATTATTTTCTACAAACTTTTGGATTTAACGCGTATAGTCTTTAATACAGCCTTGTTTAATGTGAAAATGATTGCATGTATTTTTAATATTAAGAATTAGAGGTAATAAGTAGGGTGTTAAAATTTAATCTAGTGTCTCTTCGAAAAATATTTATAGTTTCTTTTTAATTGCAGTTCAATTTATTTTATACAACAAATAATACCATATTATTCAGTGGCTTGGACGACGACGCGATCGCACCCTCTACTAAAATTAATTGTATATTCTTAATTCTACATTTTAATTAAAAATGCAAATTTTTAAATAGTAAAATAGTTATAATACATTTGTCGTGTGCCAACATTTAAGTTGTTTCCCTCAGTATATTGAGGTACAAATGCACACACGATCATGTTTAGATGACCAACAGCGTCGTCCATACAGTAAAATATTAGTATATTACTAAATTGGGTAATTTATTTTTAGAATTATCTACGTGTCCGCTCGTCGACATCGTATGTTATAATAGTATAATTAGGTCAGTTAACGAAGGAGTAATTTTGGCGAAAGGCGGAAATAATTCCCAACCAAATTTTTTTTTTTTTAAAGTTGAATTAAGATATGTATAATGACATACTAGAAGTCCTCATCGATTGGACTTGAGCTTTTTTTTTTACAGTCTCGCAAAAATTCAAAAATATGAGCTTTTTTAATTTTCTCAAAAAATATTTAACTTACAAAAAAAATTTCGTACAAAAGTTGTTTAAAAGACAATTTTAAACATAAATAGTATCTTATATTTTTTCATTTAAACAAATATTTTTCGAGTTACATTACATTTAATATGGGTACTAAAATTTAATTTCCAATTTCTTTCATTTTACGGTTACTTTTTATCATGTTATACTTACATTATTATTTTGCACTACTGATCCTAAATACTTAAAACTTTCTACTTCCCCATTCACACTCTCACCTATTGTCACTGATCTCCTCATTTCATCTACCTCATGTTCTCTTTTATCAACCCAGCCAGAATTTCTGGTAATGATAAAATTAATTGTCATAAAGTGTCTAAAATTGGTCTTGTTCTAGTAAACTCAATGGTGGATAATAACTTTCATGATATAAATCTTAATAGGTCAAATAAAGTTATAACTGTATCTTCAATAACTTCTATTCTTAAAATTAATAATGAAATAATTAAAGCAAACCCATTGCTAAAAGAGCAGTGGAATTGACGAGAATGTAAGACACAGGTTTAAGTGCGGATGGTTGAATTAGAGAGAAGCATCTGGTGTCGTTCGCCATAAAAGAATTCCAATAAGAC